CAGCCTTAGTCTGAGTGTTGCTGCTTTAGATGTTGGTAGAATACAGTGGGGCAAGGACTATTCACCAGCAGCCTGAATGGCATATGCAGCTTTTTGAAGTAATCTCAGTGCCAATAGAAGACTTAGCTCATGTTGTCCCATCACTTTAAAATCTTCTCCAGAGACACTTACATTTGGGAAGGAAAATGCTAGAAAAACAGAAACATTAAAAAAAATGCTGTTAGGTACCAAATAAAATAATGAAGGAATATTTAACAAGTACCAGTTGCCCAAGTGACCCCTGCTGTCTGCAGCATTTCTGTGCCTCTGGTGAATCCACACTGCCTTACAGTATTTAAACAAATTCCATAAGGGAGTAAAAACTCTTGTGTTTTCACCTGTGCAAAATCTTATTTGTCAGGAGAAAGCCCATAGCCCTTTTCCCCAGGAAAAAATAATATCGTGCAAAAGTTCAGCTGTCTTGGGGGAGCAAATGGCATTGAGTTTCCCCACTTTAGAGTTTCTAAAAGTTCATGTAACAAGCGTGGCAGCAACTTAATGGGAATAAGAGGGATCACATCACACTTTTGCCAATATTGTTCTCCAGAAAACAGGTTTGATGAAGAGACAACTGCTTTTAAACCAATAGCAGTCACCTCAGAAGCAGGAAGGGCCAGGTTTCCTTAACACAATAACATCATCCAGCCCAAAGAAAGAGACAAAACCAACAGTACCTATCAGTAAAAGGCAAGAAATATGTTTCCCTCTTTCTCCATAAAGTCCTTCCAGATGGCAACGCCGATGTTCAGTCCTAGCAACTCCTGTGATGGCAGCAACATCAAAGAATTCACAGGCAAGGGAAGCCAAGTATACTCTTAGTAATGAACTTCAGAAATCAAGAATGATGGACAGGTCAGCAGCAGCCCATACACCAATAGCAGCAACTTCAGATTTGGAGAGGAGTCCAGATCATGGCCGCATTAATAACATTTTCCATTATAGTAAAGTCTATGCCCTGATGCAGTAAAGTAATTTTGATGATTTCAGTGAAACTGTTCAAACTCTTACAGTTAAGATGATGATTAAGTGCTTTGTTGGATCAGGGCCCAGTGGGCTGCAGACATTCACTGTGGGAGAGATGGCTGAGTATAAAACTCTTAGCTCATAGATGCATATGTGCAGGACAGAGAAATGAACGAGTAGCAGACAGCAACAGACACCCATCATTAAATCCTTCTCTTTGTTTGATAGGTGAATGTGAGGGATTAGGGCACTGTCCTTGAAATTAACTTCCAAACTAAACAAGATTTTTTTTTTCAGTATTTAATTTCTCTCTGTAAAAATAACAACTATTCTAAAACCACTTCTGTCCTGCCCTCCTCATTCTTCCTGGGGCACTGTTGATACGAGCTTGACTTGTAGTGGCATCAAAATGCCTATAACTAACAGCTTTTGCCTCAGATATTTGGTTATGTTTTGGGATAGGAAGCTGAAGCTGACAATCTAGGGAGACCTTGTGATTCCACTGGATCTGCCTGATCTTACTGTCTCCTTTTGAATCTCTTCACTCTGTACTTTTGTCAAATGTCCCAATGCCTTGTTTACTGACTTGAGTGAGGATTCTCTCTCTGGTAGCCTGGATCTTCAAAACATTTTTTAAAACCCATTAGATGTTAATAGACTTTAATTTGTTGTTTGAGAGCTACTGAACCCTGGTTCTGATAAACTTCTTTGAAGGGTGGACTTCATTTGGAGCTCTGCTGTTGTGGAAACATAGAGATTTCAGTTTCAGAACTAGCATTTAGACAAGACTTGAAACTGCTATGGTAGGGCCAAGTGGAGGGTGGAAAGACTGTCTCAGCATCTTGAGATCCTGGAACATTCAGCTCTTTAAAGATCACCACAAGCCACTCCTACTGCAGCAAACTTAAATACAAATAAGGTTTAACTGGTAAGAACAAAACCAGTATAGCCAGATTATTTGTCAGGTCTGTCTGCATCTTGTGTTACTGAAGTCTGAAGGTAACAAAGACATGAGTGCCGATGACAAGGTCAAGATTCTGAGGCTGCCAAGCATCTGAGCATGTACCCATTCTCACTACATGGTGGGGACACAACTCTGTCCATTATTATAAATATTTAGTCCAGGTTCCCACTCTCGCAAATGCACAAAATAACATGGTCAGGCCTAATGGCTTCCCACAGATGTCAAGAATTGAGGAAGAGAAAGATGAAACCATTCCGAGCTCTACCAGTAAGGGCAACCAGTTTGCTAATCATCACCCTTAGGCATCTCTTGGGGAGGAAAAGCAACCTCACTAAAGAGCCACTTTCCTATGGTGAGTGGTATATTGAAAGCATAGGATAGGTGCAATACAATACAATAAGCATGAACAATTTTTGTTAACGTTATCTATGGCTAATGACAGTAGTTCTGTCCCATGTTCTGAACCCATATTGAATCAATCGGCAGAGAAGTTACTGAAACCTAGCTAGCATAAACCATCTCCACCAATTTAGTAATGGAAACAATGTGCTTATTGGCAGTAATACTGTCCAAAGAAGCTAGGCTTTCCCTAAATACTGCTTGTTCCATATGACTGGAAGCTTGCCCTTGCAAGGGTGGTTCTTAGCAAATCTTATTAATAATGGGCCCAATGTTTTATGTAGTCCATGAATGAACAGTATCTCTCAGAAAACTCAGGAAGCAAAACTGGACAAACAATACAGATAACCCATTCTTTCAGCTTTCTTCTAAGATTGTTGCCCCCCAAAATGCTCAACTTGGATCAAATCCAGTCAGTTACACCTGAAAAACAATTGGAATAGTTTTCACTGAGAAACACTTTGCACTTACCCTGAGACTTCCTACAGGTTGGAAAAATGCCATTGGTCCAGATTTTGCAGAGGCCATGGCTAAGTAGGCATGGCATGTTTTGCCTTCATTATTGAGTACAAATAGTCTGGGTGACTACTGCGTGGATGTAGAGCAACTCTTCCCCCACCAGTGCTTCAGCCAGTAAGCAAACCCATAGGAATCCAAAGGTTCCTTTTGTCATCTTCTATTTGGTACATCCATTGTATTATAGTAAAAATCAAACAAGGCATATTGTCACATACACGTGAACTAATATTTTTTTTGTGCAGTTGTATAATTTAATGTGAAAAAAGCCAACAATTCACACTTTGTGTTTAAGGTAGAACATGATCTTGTATAATAACGAACAGCCAAAGAGTTTCTAAGGAATGTTTTCCTTTTATTCCCTCCCTTGTCTAAACTATGCGTTTTCCAAAGGAATTTGATCCTAATCCTGTCAAATATTTGGCATTTGAATTAAAGATCTGCAGTTAACACTTAGACGTTGATGGGTCTATTGTTATCTTAAACTAGATAGTTTATTTTATGATTTTATCGTGGAATTATTTGTAGTGTAAATCAAGCAAAAACAGAGTGGACAGGAATTTAAAGACTATCCACCTTGTTTTTCATTGTTGAGTTTCCTCTTTAATATGTTTGGCTTTTTAACATTATCTTCAAGTTTTTTATTTGACCTTGGATTAATCTTTCCTAAAAAAAGAAACTACGCTATAATAACATGAGAAAACTTTCAGAATTTACCTTTTATGCAGGTTCAAACTCCCCTCCTTTGTTTTTCTATGCTGATCCCTCAGTGCTCCAGAGCTATTAGAAGTCCATTTCTTTTCAGTTACTTTAGTAATGGATGGAGAAAAAAATCACCATACTGGCATCAGCTTTGCAGTTAATGCCTACCTTTGCACATGGAGACAGAGGTTCACACCACCAAAACCTTTGATACTAGCACCCTGCACTACTACAAGGACTACTGTTTATGCTTATTTCAAGTCATGGTGATTCTGGTGCTTGGCATTGTTAGGATGACTGCTGCAAATATGGTTACTAATAATTTAAATAGTTTAAATAGTTTGTAAAATTGGAGAGTACACGTTCATGCTGTGCTTGTTGTTTCTGATGACTGATTTCTGCTTACCTTTTCAATAGGTTGACAGTGACACAATTTGGAATGAGGTTCATTCATCTGGTGCTGCTCGCTTGGCTGTGGGCTGTGTCATTGAACTTGTTTTTAAAGTGGCCACAGGAGAATTAAAGGTTGGTATGCTAATAACATTTAGTTCTGATATAAGGCTATCTGCCTCCTAAGGTGGAGGCAGATAGCAGAGCCGGGTCCAAAAAAGGGTCTGGATAAATTCATAGATGACAGACCTGGCTGGTGAACAGAATGGTTGGAGATGTTTGTTTCCTCTGGCATTTCTAAACCAATAAATGGTGGGTACCAGGGAACGTATTGAATAGGGGATATATAGATCGCTCTAGATGAGGGGTACTCAACCTCTGGCCGGCAAGCCAAATTCAGCCTGCAGAACCATCATATCTGACCCATGGGGCTCCCCAGGGTTCCAAAAATTTGGTAGCGGAGGAGTGGTAGCTCTTGGTACAGCCACCCTCCCCACTGTCAAATCCCCTTTCCCGTGTGGCTGGTTAGAGCCAAGCTATACCCCCTCCCCCTGCAAGCCCAGGCCATGCTTCCTCCACCCCCTGTTTCTGGATCAAAGCCAGGCTATGCCCTGTCCCAGGTTGGGCTGTATACCCTCTTCCCACTCTGCAGGGCTACTTCCCTCTTCATGAGGCCTGGTTAAGCTCCTTTCCCCTGCAGGGCTGTGTTGAGACTGGCCTACCCCCGGCCCTCCATGCGACCATATGTTGCCTGCTTTGCCCTCTGGGCGCTGGATCTTGCCCACAGACAGACTAGGCACTGCCAATCCAGCCCACTGGACAAAAAGGTTGGGTGTGACTGCTCTAAATCTATCTGGTTCGATATTCTTCCTCTATAGCATCCATTTTTGCCACTGTTAGAGACAGGATACTGGGCTAGATGGATGTTTGGTCTGACCCAGTATGACACTTATGTTATTAGAGCTCTGTTCAAGAACCACAGTATGAAATTTATGGTCAGTGTTATACAGAACATCAGACTAAATTATGGTAATTTCTTCTAGGCTTTACTTAAAAAGACCCCTATGGGCATCAACAAGTGAACAGAAATTTCTTAATTATGTTTTAAGGGTTAATTTAAAAAAAGAAAAAAGTATCCTCTGTAGTCATGGTTCCACTGATGCCCATGAGGGCTTTGTCATTGATAGCAATGGAACTAGATTTCACTACTGCTTTTTAAACAGTGTTATTTCAGAAACTTTGATTTTAAAAAAATAGCTTCCAGAAATGTCAGACTGACTGTGTCCCTTAAACTAAACTAAAAGAAAACCAGCATGCTGGTATAGCTTTGACGAGAAACCATGACTGTCCATCTGAGAAATCAAAAACTATTGAATAATTCAAAAGTAAATTAGCAATTCTAAAAACAATGTGTGCGGATATTACTATAAGAGCAATATTTCTTTGTGTTTCATCTTCCCTTCTGTATTCTTATTTATTTTTGTACGTAGAATGGATTTGCTGTAGTTCGACCTCCAGGTCACCATGCAGAAGAAAGTACACCCATGTAAGTGTCTGTGTGCACTAATTGGCTAACTTTAACTTTTATAGTCATTAATGAAGAGAAGTGTGATATAGAGCTAGGAGCTAACAAATGAATGTTGGCTTATTATAGATGCTTTTTTGGAGATTGCTATGCAACACTGTCAGATTCCAAGTGCTTTGTAATACTTTAAAAGCAGGAAAGATCCTGATTTCTTATTTAGTAAGATCAGCATTAGAATCATACCTAAGAATATTTGTAAAGCCCTATTGATGCAAGTACTTCCATCATCCATATCAAGTGTTTATGTGACTGACGGGAGATTTGTAAGTGAAATGCACTGAAATTTCCTTTTTAATACGGAGAAATCAATGATACATTACTTAAAATACCGTATCGGGTATAACAGTACCCTGGGGGTTTGACATTGAAATGTTAAAAAATAATAATAATGTTTTCATGAAGTAAACAAATGAAGTCAGGTCTCTTAAACTCATTTAGTTTTGTAGGGTTTTTATTCCTACCAAATTGAAAGCGTTTTAGGTTTGGCCAGTTTCAAATCTGGTTCTAAAGGTAAGAGTTTAATAAAACATATTGAACAGTACGTCTCCTTCAACTCTGTATATAATTTATTGTTTATTGAGCTAGTACATTCCTGGCTTTTGTCACCAATGCATACGTCTTTGAGCGTGTTAGTATTGTTTTGGTGTGAGATCAGAGAGTAACTACTTCTGAATTTAAATCAGCAGTGTTCTGAAACTTCTCTGATCAGGTCCACTGCATTTCTTTTAATCTTTCCACTCCAAATCAAAATAAGGCCTTTCCCTTCTTTCTTTGTGCCTACACTACCATGGTCCAACTTGAGTGAGAACACTGAAGCTTTAGAAATTGGTGAGTGGGCAGTGAGTATACTTCGAGAGCATCTTGCAGAAGAGAGTTTTGGAAAGTATAAAAATGTTCACAATTTCCCGTGAGATCACTGAGTCACCTGCTGGTGTGTGGGAGGGTTGTGTGTAATTGAGCACACGTGTGTCTGTTAGGGAAGAAAAAAGAGTGAAAGCAATAGAAATGTCTTCCTACTGTGTTATGTCTCAGATGATAAATGTATTAGGACCAAGGCAAATGTATAATTAACACCCCTTTTTCCCCCTCTCTCTCCCTCTCATTACCTCTAGGGGGTTTTGCTATTTTAATTCTGTGGCAATTGCAGCCAAGCTTCTCCAACAGAGACTGAACGTTAGCAAAATCCTTATAGTGGACTGGGTGAGTAAACATTTATTCTTCCAAAAGTAGCAATGGAAGCTTTTTGTCAATTTCTTTAAAAAAAAATAAAAAGGAGGTCCAGGATTTATAGCTTAGTGAACAAAATCTGGCTCTAGTTTGTCAGAACAAAAATTCCCTTTCAAAAATTGTTTATTTGTAGTAAACTTCCTAAAGCACAGTCTCAATTTTTTGGCAGAATTTGACAAATTCTATTTTTCCCCCGACCTGATCCTGAATAAATGTTTAGTCTTCCAAGGTAAAGCTTTAATGTAGATAATTTTCGAAGATGGCTACCTCTGCTAGGTGCTAACTTTGGGATCATAGGTCCAAAACATTATTTCCATCCTAGCACACTTTCCTGATGAGCAGGGATCTTGGTTTTCTCTAATAAAAAAAATCCAAAATTCCCCGATTTAAAAAAAAAAAAAAAAAAAAAAAAATTTTCAAACTTTGATTAAAAAATTCAAAATCTGTGTTTGTCCCTGAAACACCACTAAATGAATAAATAATATATATATATATAGATATATATAAAAAATAAATAAAATGTGTGTATATACATGTGCATGTGTGTGCGTTTGTATGTGTGTATGTATGTTTGTATGTATATATGTCTGTGTGTGTGTGTGTGTGTGTGTGTGTGTGTATTCATTGAACACAATGTTTTATTGAAACATTTACAATTTAAAAGCAGTTTGGAAGCCTACCAGTGCCTCAGTCGTTATAATCAGGGATCCTGGTTTCCTCTGATTTAAAAAAATCCCCAATTTTTGGTTAAAAAAAAGTAACCCCAAATCCAATTTTTTCCATGATTTAAATGAAACACCACTGATATATAGATATAGTGATGTTTCATTTTAATCATGGAAAAATGTGGATTTGGAGTTACCGTTTTTAACTGAAAATTGGGGACTTTTTAAATCAGAGAAAACCAGGATCCCTGATTATAATAAACTAAATTCTAAATACCTATATATTTTGGCATTTGATTTTGGTTTTTTTTATCATGGAAAATCAGAGCCCCCTTCTCTCACCGAGACGCAGGTCCAGCTGTGGCTGTCCCTCTAGCTGCTTTGTGATGTTGAGCAGCAGTGGCGATGTGTAGAGGGTTCCCGGGGGTGCACCCTAACCCCCCCCCCCC